CAACAAAAAATAACTACATTTTCCTTTCTTCCTTTCCTTCAAGTATGGCTGTGAAAATTGTGAAATGGTAAAACTCAATTTACCATACCACTACTACTGCTTTTTCTTGAATAGTAGGCATTTTAATAATGGAATCTGCTGATTATGAGTTGTTCAAAAGCCATAAAAAAGTGCTTTAAAAAAACTTGAGAGGGTTATAGGGTATATTCCAATCTATACTTCATTGCTCTATTGTTTTCTTTTCAATTTAATGAGATGTGATATCCATCCAGCCTGTTTTTGTCTGTCCTCCTTGTAGTCATTTGAATGAGTTAATTGTTAGAGATTAGTTTCTGCTACAGCTCATTTACCATTTTTGTGTGAAATTGCGTTAGGATGATATGAATGGTTTAGTTGTTAACTGTTGTAATTTCAGTTTAAATTCTCTTGTTGATTCCCTTTGTACTATTTCTGCAGAGTCATACATCAAAGAAACTCCCAAGCATCCAATCAGGAAGTTGTATGAAATGCTTGCCCCAGTTCAGCCTGAATTCACGTGAGTTCACTTGAGCAATCTACCTTGATCTCTTCATTCTAGGAACCACTAATCTCAATAGTGCTGCTTCTATCTTCAGACTTTAATTGGAAGGTCTAATAAATTTAATTGCTTCAAGGGGTTTTATTTTGGTCTTTTTTTAGTTCCTATGGATTCATCAATGGACACATGCTAGAATATGTGGCAATAATGGCCATTCCTATCTTAATGACTTTTGTGGAAAACTCTAAATCTGAAAATCATTCACCTTTCATTGTCATATATGGGAATAAAAAGTTTTGAAAAGATTTGAGTAGAATGCAGTTGCAGCTCAAGCATCTAATGTCTTCCCAGTGTTTGTCTCATTATTTGCTGCAGTAACTAGAGCTTTTGGAAGTACAGCATAACATGAAGGTTTTGAGAATGTAATATTCCATTGCTCTTGAATTTTTTCAACGATTTTAAGTGATTTTGGCTTTTAAAATTATAATATTCTGAAAATGGGACTGCTGTCATTGCAGTAAGGAACACACTAGTTTATAAATGACATGAACTGCTCAGCTACTGAAGTTCTAGAGTTTTGAAACCTTCTCCAGTATTGACTCCAAGCTTTAAATTTTTTTTATCATGGAAGCTGTGGTTTTTAGAAAAAGGTTTTAGTTTCTGTTAATGATAAAGCCACATGAAAATAATGAAATGTTTTGTATAAAATCCTGCCTATAGTGACAAGAGTAATCATATTTGCCTTTACAGTTTCTAAACCATAGTTACTAAGCTCTTTAGGTCAATACATTCAGCTTCCATGCATACTTCCATATTTCGCTTTTTTTTGTTTTTAGTCTGTTTTAGTTAATATTTCTCAAGTAAAACTAGATCATTTTTTTCAGTCAGGAACCAAAGTATAATTTATAGTAGTTATCGTTTTTGACTGTTAACTTTTGTTCCCAATTAAAATTTTAGCTGTAGTCTCCATTGAAGATTCAATTTCTGCATGGAGGTATCAAGATCCATGTCCCACCTAATTGCCAACATCTTCAGAAAAAATTAACAGCATAATCAAAGCATTGCAACTCTTCCACCATAGAGATGACAATTATCATTCATGAGTCTGCGAACACATCTTGAGTATGAAAAAGGAAAAGCCCAAAACAGACCCAATACTTCATCTTCTGCTTGCAGAACAATGCAAGGGGCATGTTGCCCAAATTTGCACTGCTACTTTAGATCAGATTTGGATTCTGATATGAACATGCCTTGCAGCATGTTTCCCTTGATGCATCAGTAATAACTCAAATGCCCTTATACAAGACACGTACCTCCTTTCCCTTCCCATTATTAGCTATTTTTCTTGCATTTTAAGGGGAAAGCCAGCAAAAGATTCACAGCATAATTCCTCATTCGGTTGACTCCTTTTCACAGAATCACATCTTTTTTTCAGGGTTCTTGAACCAGAAGGCATTGAAGGTGGTAAAAAGTAAGGGGTTTTCACCTCTTTCAGCAATCATAATTTTCTTGTGAATTTGGCATTATAGAGACATTTCACTTCAATTTCATTAGGCCAAATATGGTGGAGGTAGTCTTGAAGGCTAAGGCAGCAAGATACATAGGGAAGGGGAAGAGTAAGAAGCGTGCAGAAATGGTGGCTGCCAAAAAAGCGTTGCAGGATCTGATGACACAGAAGAAAATTGAGACCAACCCTACCCTTCTCTTCCACATGAGTTTTTAAAGAACATTTGCTACCTTGACATCTCTCATTCTGTCAAAGTTTATCATGCAGAATGGCTGAATCCCCCATTCTTACTGTATCAATAGGACAACTGTACTTTTGGGGAATGAAGGGGAATGACACAAGTCTCAGGATTATGGTACTAGTGTGCAGTTCAAAATCTTTCACTGTTAATGCAGAGGATGATAGAAGTTAGAGCAACGTTATTATTCCACTTATACCATAAGTGACAAGAAACCTGATTGCTTCAAAGGCAGGTGTTCTACTTTGCCCTTGTTGAATTTTCGAAATTTTTTCATGTTGGAATTTTATCAAGAAATGTATGTGATCTGTAATATCTATATCTGAGAAGAGCTTTACATATTTTTGAAAGGGACTGAAAAATGTGCACATGTGGGCTGACAACTGGCTTGATTTCTTCTTCACAAGGAGAACCACTTTGATTCATTATTCTTAACTCATGCAAAATCCTATTAAGGTTGGTTCTTAAAGTGAATCAATTGAAGGATATGTGATTAGGAGCTGACAATGTGATTCAAGATTTTGTAGCTTTTGAAAAATCACGTGTGCAGCAGTAGGTTATATGTTCATGAGTTGTCTGGTTTTTTTATTATTTCTTGTGCTATTAACATTTGCACTGTGATTCTTGATGTGAAACTGGAGGACATGTATGAGCTGACTGATTAATGATTTTTATCTCATGCCAAATTTTTTGCTGTGATTCTTAAGGTGAAACTGGAGAAGGATGTGTATCCATTGGCTGTGATTCATGATTGTTATTCATGGAAAATCTGTGCTGTAATTTTAATGTGAAAATTTTTGACACATGATTATGAGCTTATCCAGCTCTAGCCTCTCCCTCTCTCCACACCTCCCCAAAAGCAAAGTTGTTGATACTTTGTAGTGGGCCTCCTTTCCCTAAATAGAAAGATGTCACCAATAGACCCATGCACTCTGTGAATACCAACTTTCATTATCTAATGAAGACTTAAATAGGGCTGCTCTGATACCTTGGCAACTATTGGTATCAGCCACTGGCTTAGTACCATTGGCCATTGGTAGGTTTTCAAGCTACTGATGCCAATACCCTAAATATGTGCAGAAAGAAGAGAAGGAGAAAAAAAAAACTAATGCAAGTGCAGCACAATGATTCTCAACTGTAATAGGGTTGAGTTGTGATCCCATACCCACCAGCTGTTGGGTCATCATAATCATCATAACTGGGTTCATAATTACCCTGAGGCCCATTGCCAAACAAGGCCACTGGTACAGCCCTACTTTAAAACTATTGACCTGATCACTATGAAGTTTTGTATGTAGGGTGAGTGGATGAGTCTTTTTTAATGGAATTAGTGACTTAAACGAATTTTCCCCCATTATTAAGATTAAAATGTGAATATTCCTTTACAGAAAGACATTTGCAACTTCCAGCCTTGTTGATCTTGACCCAATGCACATGTACAGACTGACATCTATGTCAAGTTGTCATGTTACTGACCAGAGCTACCAGTTCCCTTACATTATATGTAAGCAGACTGCTAGCAAATGTAAGAGCAGCTGCTTGCCAAACTCACAAAAATCCACTTCTGACAAGCCTATTTATCATACTCTTCCTGTTTGCCAACCGCTATCTACTTGCCACTTCTTCCTGTCTCCAATAGTCTTTGAAAATAGACCCATCATTAGATTAGGCTTGCCCAGCTTCTTTCTGAGCATACATATCAAGTGTTTCACATCAGGGATTTTACTTGGAGCATTTTATATCAACAAAGACCTTATTTAGGAAATGCATCCTTTTAAGAGCGACAATCCAAAATGCTGGCTGCATGAGTATTCTCTCCATTACTCGTTATTGCATGACTTTGTTGATCATATATTGTGCTTTGCTTTGATACAATCATCATGAGAGTTATATTTGAGCTTTTCATTGCGTGCTAGAGTTGAATATATTTACTTCATTATTTTGTTTGTTCTTTGCTTGATGAATTATTGCAGGACTCCTATTCAAGTCCAATTTTTTCATTGTGCATCAGTGCTAAAGTGAATTTTTTTCATGATTATTCTGAAGAGTCCTGTTCAGGCTGCAATGCAGCAAAACTATTTGGGCCTGAGATATATGACTACATGGTGTTTTAAAAAATCCAGTGCCAATTGTACCAAACCCAGTGATTTGGTGCAGTTTTTTTTTTAACGCTGTATGTGTGTCTTACTGCACTGATGCAAGAAATTGTTAGTTTTGTCTCAAGCATTAGCGTATAATTTATCTCCGTTTTATGCTTGTATGTTCGTTACTGGTGCCTGAGATTGCTTCATTGCTGTGAATTTTATATTCACTGTATTACGGAAAGCCGGGTTGCCCTGATTGACCTGGTAGAAAATCTGTAGTGTGTTGTTGGTGAAACCAGCGGGCTTAACCGCCATTCTTGTCTGCCTTCAGCTGACATTAAAGATTATTTTACGTAACCGATCCGACCTCACGAATTTTCCCGAGTTCACCCCAACCCCTACAGCCTACAACTAATCTAAAACTAATAAAGCTACAGCTAATCAGAGCGACGGCATCCGGTCTGCGGACTGGTGGACGGACCGAGCCGGTACTGAGACTTTCCGGATTTGGTCTTGACTGGTCTTGACGATCAAGACCGTCACGATATTCCCATTTCCACGTGGAGTCTACTGTATGCTTTCAACGTTTTGCTCAACGTTTCCAAGTCGATACATCTACGCATATTCGACGTCTATAAAATGTTGCTGTGCCACATGGGTAAGAGAGAGTACACGGCAGTGGGATCACGACTGGCACGTCTCGAACCTGAGCTGCCACTTCCAGCCTCCGTACCCGACGAATCCATTGTTGATAGAGTAAGAGAAAGTACACGAACAGCGTCGCTAGCTCGCTTCTGCACTCCCATCCATGTCCTGCAGTATTCACCGTTGCGGTGTTCTCCTCACCCATCTGCCACATCCTCTCGTTCCAAACCGTCATCGAAACGAGGACCACTATCGACCGCTATCGGATGGCATGCCCAGCTTCTTTCGAAATCCCCATGTACCTTTCACACGCTCTCGACTATCGCCTGCTTTCCTTCATTTATTCTCCTTATCTTCCTTCCCTCTTTTCCTTCGTTCTTTCCCCTCCCTTGTGATACTGATTTATCTTCGCCTACGTTCGTCTTCTCCCTACTCTCATCCCAACCATTTCCCTACATTTCTATCGATGCTCCTCCCCTTCTGCGTATCCCAAGCTGACTCGCTTTACCATTTCTCTTCTCTACGACTGAAACTTATCTTCCAGTTCATGCTTTCACATACTTTCGCAGTCCCATTCCATCCTACGAGGACCCTCCAAAGTGGAAGAGCCAGCCGTACCACGTCGACCGCTGCTGCAATGGGTCCAGGGCAGGCACTGCCCACCCCGGCCTCCTTGGCTCGACGTCGCTGCTGCAGATCGCGAGTCGCCGCTGACAGTACCACCAGCCGTTCGTGTCGCCGGGAGAGATTTTTCGCATCCGACCCGCAAATCGGGCTCACGTAAGAGTTTAAAACGAGACGGGAGGAGTTTCTTGCTCGTCCACGATGTCCTCGCAATGCCGTGAGTCAAACAACTATCGTGTCTCGAAATGGTGGTCTCTATTGCCGTCATAAATGGTATGCTAATTTTTTGCATGGTGATGACATTTCTCGACAGCTCTTCTAACTTTGCCTACTTCCAAATGCGGCGTTCATTCGTGAAGAAAGCGTGGAAAGTCTCTCGTCGATCGGAACTGCCGAGAGACTGTCGTCCGCTGTGCAACACGAGCCCTCAAGCCCAGAGCTGAGACCGACAGGCGTCGCCCATGGACCGAGAAGATCCCAGGAAAATCCAAGTCATTTCTTTTTTTTTTTGCCGGAGCGATTCGCCGACAATTCGGCAGCGGATGAAGTCGCAGAGAATCCTGGATCGGACTCGAATCTCGAGCCGCATTTTCCCAGCACCGACTCGGAGCCTGCAGTCCAGACTGCAAGTCGGATCGCGTCGTCGTGGCCGACAGATAAAGCCAGATAAGGACCGAGCAAGTACCCACGTCGAATGCCGTGAACCGGATGACATCATTCCTGTTTTCTTCCCGTTGAGAGCATGACCGTGAAATGCTTTTTCGTGCTTCTATTCGTGGCCTTCATTTTCCTGGATTCGTCGGCGTCTGTGAGTCTTTTCGCTGCTAAATTAGGACCTGTCGGTTTCGTGTTGCGTCCTCTGCCCTCGCCCGACCTCGCTCGAGCTGTCCAATCTCACCCTGGACGCGATTTGAACCTCGACTGCGGGGAGACCGAATCGAGGCCGACGGGAACCTTAGTGTCGCTCGAAGCCGACCGGAACCTTAGTGTCGCTCGAAGCCGACCGGAACCTTAGTGTCGCTCGAGGCCGACGATTCATTTTGCGCTCAATGACGCAACGTTCTCGCGGGGCAGATGGAGTCGCTTGGAATGTGGAACTCTGCCTGCGTCTTTTCGCGTTTTGTGACATTTTGAGGCTGTTTCACGGCCGAGGAGAGTCAACTTCATGGCGTCTAAATGTCGTTCCACTCTTTGTGCGTCATGCGGCCTTTGCGTCAACGTTTGGGCAGGTAGGCAAACGCACGCGTATCCCCCTAATTTCCCAAAACGCAAAGCTTTTGTTTTTAATTAAGCTCATTCCTAATTAATTCCAGACGCGAGACCTGTGTTTTGCGAAAATTCTCTGAATGTAAGTGGACACGCGTGTGCACGCTTGCGTTCGCCTACCTGCTCCAACATGGACGCGAAGGACGCACGACGCGCTAAGTTTGAGACGCCCCTAAGTTTCCGTGATTAACGTCTGCAATCGGACGACGTCCCATTATCGTATCGTTACAATCGCGAAATTGGAAACCCAGCACCGGAGATCATACGCGCTCCTTTTTTTTCTCTCTCTTTCTCTCTTGTGGCTTGTAAAAGACTCCTTGCCCTTTCGGCATAGTCATTCCCGTCGTAAAGAATTTGGCCAAAACGAAAGAGCTTCCGACGGCGATGAATAATAGGGCGTTTTGCTTACCCGTTCTCGAGAGGACGGCAAGGGATGTAGAACGAATGACGTCATTCGTTCCCCTTCCAACCATTCTCCTTGGAATGTCATCGCGACGCCGAGATCCACCAATCAGGAAGCCATCGCGACTCCGAGATCCACCAATCAGGAAGCCATCGCGACTCCGAGTTCCACCAATCAGGAACGACTCTCGAGTCGCGTGAGCTTCATACGACGTCGTGATTCGTTTCAGTCAGTCCTCATTGCGTCGGCGGATGATTCACTGTGCCCTGCTGAAACTGGACCATCTGATCGAATTCTCGTGAAATGCCTTCTCGCTACCCCGAGGAACGAGATACCACGAACCTTAACGCCGTAAAACGGGAATTTCCGCTCTTCTTTGAGATCCGAAGGTGAGCTTCGAGACTTTCCAGACAAACGATCGTCTGGGGGTGCGTGGCGTGTCGTTAGTATCATTCTATAGATGAACACAGAACAATGGAACGTTTCCGAAATGTTGGCAATGTTGCTCAGTGTTGCATGTCGATGATCTACGTTGATGAAACATGGTACATGGTACATTTAAGATGCCAAGTCTTATAGGAATCAACGAACTCGGACACTTCATTTGTTATCCCCATATTCAAGACAGATTCATCTCAAGCCAAAAATAAGTTCATATTCCCTAAAAGAACCCATTCCAAAAACTTAACGATTTCCCCTACAGGAGATTAAGAAAACGATGGTAGAGCGAGTCTGTGAACTCAATCTTCCCATCAACAAGACCGAGCCTGTAATAGTGCCACCCCTAGTGTGCCCATACAGGTACTGGTGTGCCTACGCCAGGGCTTCCCAACCTTTTTCACGCGCGACCCCAAAAATCACGATCATACCATTCAGGACCCCAAGCACTGGTCAAACAGGCACTAAACCTATGCACTAAAATCGCCAAGAAAAACATAACTTGGCACACATTTGCCGGTTTGCGACCCCAAATATGATCTTTGCGACCCCGAATGGGGTCGCAACCCCTGGGTTGGGAAGCCCTGGCCTACGCGCAATACAGCGCCTGTATCACGGATTGGAGACATGGTACATTTTGGGAGTTCATCTTCCCCTTTTAATGTGCCAAATAAAGCACATTTCAGCGAATGGTCCACCCATCGTGTTCTATGGAGTGTCCACGAATTCCGCCCTTCCTCTCCTCATCTCGAGGACACGAAGGATTGAGTTCACAGACTCTCTACCATCATTTCCTCAAACTCCTGTAGGACGGAATCGCCGAGTTTTTGTAATAAGTTCTTTCAGGGAATATGAGCTCGTTTTTGGCCAGGAGAAAGAGCCCGCCGTTTCCGAGCCCCCAGATCTATGGAAGATGCTGCCCTTTTTCATTGCCATGAATATTCCCGTGCGGGAAAATTTTGCTCCATTGCCACCTGGGGATTACTAAAGTTGCACCCCTCCACCCCAATAGGGAATCTCCGATAGAAGTGGAAAAACGAACAGGCCATCCGAAGGAATGTCCTTGGATGAGACATTTAGTCATCCAGAGGATGTCAAAGGAGGATGTACAGTGAATGTTCAAGTGTCCTTGAGTGTATGCCCAATGGATTTATTTTGGTTAAAAATCCTTCCTTGGGATGCGAAATGTTCCCAAAAGTATTCATTTCCCAGCTGTGCTCTTCACACGAGATGTTGGATCTGGGGCGTTCTGTCCGTTTTCTCAGGTGGCGGAACCCGGGAACGGAACCGGAAACGTCAAACGCTGCAACTGCTGTGAGTTCCTCCACCTTTAAATTCGTTTAAATTCGGCGAGAGGAAAAAATAGTAAATATTGATCGCGATAGGCGAGTGAATCGAGACCGGGAGAGAAAGAGTCTGGCCGTGTAGATATTGGCTTTCGTTTCCACTTCGTTAGTTGACACTGTTCTTGTAGAAACTTCGGATCATACCGATACCATTCCTGATGATTTCTCATCAAACCCAGCTGAACTCACGAATCCGCATATTTTGCTTCATTCTTTCGTTTTTTATTTCACAAAAGTCTTCCAGTTTGTTTTCGTTGCTCCACTTTGCAACAGCGAAGGCATTCGCCAATCGTCCTTAATCCTTAATCGAATCGTAAATCCTTAATCGAACGCTCGCGATGATCCGATTCTGATTCTTATTTCCTCACGCCTCCAGCGTGCGGCATCGGAGAGATAGGGAAGTACGGGAAGATCGTGAACGGCAGAGAGACCGAGAGGGGGGAATTCCCCTGGCACGTGAGAATCCTCGGAGAACGATTTCAATGCGGCGGGGCCGTGATCAACAGCCGGTACGTCCTGACGGCCGCTCACTGCGTGGCAGCCGAGAGCCCCGACTCCCTGTGGGTCGTCGCGAGAGAGCACGACCGGGACGACCCCGACGACCGGGCCACCCTCAAGCTGAGGCCCGACGAGATCGAGATCCATTCGGAATACGTGATGAAGACCTACGAGAACGACATCGCCCTCCTGAGGCTCGACCAGACCCTTCCCTTCAACGGAACCGAGAAGACCGTCCCCATCTGTCTCCCGGAACCTTCCGATCCCGGTCAGTCCCTGCATGCTTCGCCTGCGGCTGGGATGCGTACGATAAGGCCTGCAGGTTGCTGGTGGCCTAAAATCCATAAATTTTAACCCCAAAGCGTTTTTCTTTTTTGCTATTGCTTTTTTAAAAGTGAATACTCAAGTATTTGACATCGTGCTAGTCTTGCGAGCCAGCAAGGGCTCTAATGAAAGCCTTTCGAGGAGACGATCGAGGAATGGTAGCACCCCAAGCAGCATGTTTACGTAAATATTATATAAAATTGATATCCAAGTAGCTTTTTTTAAATATTATGTAACATTGATTTTAATTTTTTGTCCATGTTATCAACAGTCATGTGAATTTTTTTAAATTACAATAAGTAGACCCATCAGTTTTGAAGGGAATCCATGCCGCCGAGCACATCCGATTCACCTCTACATCTTGGAGCTCTAACGCATTCAGAAGAGTCCACAAGAACACCGAGACGACCCTCTGCTCCCCTCCTCCACCACGCAACCCCGAGGGCTTGAGCAGAAATCTGAAAACTTTCATACATAAAATATGGCCTATAGGTGCACATGCACTATGCATTCTTCCCTTCCTTGTTCCCGTGCACTTCTGCATTCCCCTACTTCAGCGCTTAATAATTCTCTGAGTCATACATTGCAATAAAAATATAATTATTCAACGCTTTCTTAATATCTGTTTATAACTCGCACAATAAAAAGAGGGAAGATGGGAGGAAAACGTTATACCAAATCAGGAAAGCAGATACCTAATTTCATGTTTAAGAAGCAGGGAACATGGATCCCATCTAGTGAGGACTCTTGGTACCGCAACTGTTGAAGAGTCAGTTACGTTATGAAAAGACAGCTTGTGGTCCTCATCCCATACATTGTAGTAGGTCAGCAACTGCATGTCCCACTTGCCACCGCGTTCCCACCTACAGTAGAAATCCGCCACTATAATGCCTGGACCGCCTATGGCACACTTCCTTTGTGATACATGGTAATGATGTATGTACATGATGTCGAGGTGATGTTCAAAACGTTCCTTAGGGAGAACAAATTCAGTTTCGTAAAACTTTTTCTCGTCAAAAATTTCACGTGGATGATGTGATGTTGATTTGGTATAAACCTTATGTCATGTTTATAACCGGTGAAATCAGTTCTAGTTTACATGAAATACGCATCTACTCTGGCGTTGTTAATACAGGAACGTGAATTTCGTACAAACGCGATATCATCAACATGACAATCGCAAGAAATCGATATCGTTTGCCAAAAATGTTATCTTGTTCACATAAGCATGCTGCTTGGGTACTGTAGCCACCGACGGACGAGCCCACAAAAGCCCGATGCAGCCGTGCCGCTTGGGTACGGATCGACGAGACGAAACTCGGTTCTTCCCTCTCCTTCCTTTAGAGAAGGATTACGCGAACGAAATCGGCGTGGTGACCGGATGGGGCTGGACCCGCTGGCAGGGCAGCGAGTCCAACGTCCTCCTCAGAGTGGAGGTTCCCATCATGTCGAACGACGATTGCAAGACCAAGACCCGGTATGAGGCCGAGGAAATCTTCGACTCGATGCTCTGCGCTGGATACATGGAAGGAGGGAAGGACTCGTGCAAGGTGTGCGGTTCGTTGTGCCTTTTTTTTCATCAGGAATCCTCTCTTCCTAAAATTTACTCGTTGTCGACTTCTCTGGGTGAAAAAGTATTATCACTCCGAGAGGGTCTATTCTACTTTAAAATGGTCCCTCGATCAGTTTAAATTATATAAAAATACAAAACGTTGCATAATACAATTGAAGAGAAAAATAAACCTAGTTAGTATTCCTGTAAGCCTTGTGAAAGTCAGGACATTCACTTATCTGGATAGAATCTACTGATCTTCATTATGTCTGGCTGAAGATAGTTGACTAGATTTCTTTTTTCAGGTTAAAAATTGAAAAGGGCTGGACCATATTCATTTTGCTATAAGATTTAATACGAAGAAGGAACGCCATTTTCGCTTCCTTGTCAGAGTTCGTAGCCTTCTTCGTAGCAATTCGTAGGTTCCACGATCCATTAGCAATTTTGGATTCGTCATGAATTCCCCGACCTCGTGTTCCCCCTAGGGCGACAGCGGTGGTCCCCTCCACCACACGGCACCGAGCGGGAGGCAATTTTTGATCGGAATCGTCTCGTGGGGGGTGGGCTGCGCACAGCGTGACTTCCCGGGGGTCTACACGAGGGTCACCAAGTATTTGAAGTGGATCGAGGAGAACACCCCGGAGGGATGTTACTGCGAGAGGGAGGCGCAGTCCGGAGCGAACTCCTTCCGTGCTTCCAACCTGCATCTCGTCCTTTTGGCTTTCTGGCTGTTTTCATCTGCCTCGCGATCGCTGGTTTTTGCGGAGGTTCGGCCTGTGGGTCGCGACGGTCGGCTGGCGTCGATCGGAAGAAGACTCGGAAGTTGGCAGCTCGATTCGTGCCCACTGAAATTGGGACCTGAGGCATTCCAGCTTCGATTCGGGACGCTTTGCGCCTCCGACGGGAATCGCTATAGAAATTCAGGTTATGAAAAATCGTCGTATCCCAAACAAAATTCCCAAATTTTTTTTCCCCCCCTCTGGAGTCGTTCAGAACTAAGCAAGTACTTTCGAGCCGATTTCGAAGCTGAGGCGACGCTGAGTCCAATTTCGTCCGTGATATTTTATGTAACTTTGTTACGAAGATGAGTGTGAAACTTTTTGGGGAAGAAACCCCTTAAAATTGACGCAATTTCGAAGAGTAATGAACAAGTTAGCACTATGAGCTTCTGCTGCATTGCCATTCTGATTAATAACGCTCAAAAGTACAAACAGGCACTATTTTATTTTTATTTTATTATTCTATTTCAAACAACATAAAACTACCTTTGAAGAGTCCAATTTTGCATCACCTTGACGACTTATATTTCTTTTCGAACAAGATAGAAACTTTAAACTCTCTCTGTTGCTGCATGACTAATTTGGAGTTTCAAGTTTGTGGGAGTTTTTTTTGTCGCTTTGAACTTGCCTTTTATCTCCTGAAACATTTTTCAGCCCTAATTTCTGAAGATCCCGGTGACAACCGCAGAAACAATTCAAAACAATCAGCTTTCAGTACCGTATGGTACTAAATGCATATTCTGAGGGGAAATACTTTACGTCATCAATAAATGCTGGACCCGAGAGGATGATGATGAACTTTCAACTTCCAGACGATTTTGCGAAATTGGGCACGACAAGTTTCAACGCGGATTAAACGGATTGAACGAAAGCGACCCATTTACGCAATGGGTCACTTCGGCCCCCTGAATTTCCATTCCTGGGGAAAGGTGGCTGAACTTCGGAGCAGAATATCTCAAGAACCTTTCTTTTCGCAGAGCACACCGAACAATTTTTATTTAAACTTTTTTTTTTCATGGCTCAGAGAGATCTTAATCCGTGGACTTTCTCAAGCGAATCCCCGTCGGTGGCCCATGAAGCCTGAGGCTGAAGACCAGGCATGAATTCCGCAAAAGAAAAAAATCGTGAAATCTCTGTAAGATATTTGATAAGATATTAGCGAGCACAGCCTTGACGGAGGTGCTCAGAATTTTTTTTTTTTCGATCTGAGGAAGGGCAAAACATGATTTTGTATGATTTAATCGTCGATACTGTTATTATTATCGTTTCCCTGGCGTATGCCCGATGAATTTCCCGCCTCACCGAAAATAAAATCGAGTATTGCCGCTAATGAGTCTTCGCTGCGTCTATTCAATACTCCTCCTATCGGGAACTTGGAAGCCGACGGCTCGCTAGATGCCAAGATGCCAAGAGTTCGATGCAAGCGAGGGCGAGGATGTCTCCTGCGTCCGCGGCCAAGGGACGACATCCCGCCTGGAGAGGAAAGCGGATGAGGGAGATCAACTGAAGATGTGGATTCCTTTCCGATTGGGGATGCAGGCACGTCAGCCGGAGGGCGTTGATTTATGGTTGTAGTTTGTACCTGTGTTGGTAGTTTGTAGTTTGGTGGGATTCGTTAGTGGGACTCTTCCCAACGGTCCCTTTCATGACGGCATTCTCTCCTGGACGCAATGGCGTAGGCAGTAAATCGGCAAAGGGAGGGGGGGAGGGGGTTGAGGCCAGGAAGACACCCCAACCCTACGCCTAGCTCCACGGAATTTACTCTTTCAAAGAAATCATGGTCTGGCATCTTGGGATCTGTGGACGGACCTCAGACTTTCCTCGAAGGGTCATGGCTAAATTGGAATTCCCAGGGAAGGTTGAAATATGACTGTCAGTGTCACTGACTGGTAAGCCAAAAGGGGGGGAATCTCAAACCCCCCTAAACACCCCTTCCCTACGCCACTGCCTGGAAGAAACATACATCCTTAAAACTGCAATCGATGATGATGCCATTCTGGTCAGAGATTATTTTTAAGAATTTCATATGCATCGCTATACTCCTTCCAACCATTGCAACTTCATTAGCAGACAGTGTTTATGATCATTTACACTTTAAAAAAAAGGGCTAGACCGAAAAGCCCGACAAGGAGGCGATCGATCCACCTGGCAACCCTGCGCCGAACATGTCTGCGTGCAAATGAGTCATAGTGGCATGACACTCGCATGACCATGGCGGGTGAGGGAGAGATCGTTCCACGTCCCTATCAGGTACGTTTTTTTTTTTTTGGAGGGGGGGGGGGAATTTTAACTTAAGACGAGTCGCCACGCTGAAAAAAGACTAGGCCCAAGGTAATCCTAGGTTCATGCGCGCTTGCCTAGCGTAGCCGTAGGCTGTTAATGAGCAAAAAAAGGTTAAGTTTAACGTCAGATATTATATCGATTGAAGCTATTCCCACTATGACGCAACATTCGCCTCCTGGAGCTCGCCGTTTTACGGTGTTTCACGCTTGGCTTGACCAAAGTCGCGTGAAAAATGTCTGACTATTGAGAAATACTACTACCTGTATTAGGTGTCTTCACTTAAATATGCTCGAACGATAGGCTATGATCCTGTCTTAGAGGAGATACCTAATTTAATACAAGCTTTTTTCTGTGTTCTTTGAGTCTTCAATGGTATCACATACCCAATGTTGGGCGTGTTACTTGTGAAAAGTAACTAGTTACAATTACAAGTATTTCATCCAGAAAGTAATTAGTTACCAGTAGAATTACTTCTCACCAATGTAACTAGTTACAAGTAGAAGTTACTTTTCAAGTTACTTTTCCTGAACAAAAACACTGATCTTTCTACAACTTCTCCACTTTTTCGACAGAAGCTGGATGCATGGACTGAATGTGAAAGTTACCCCTGATTTCGTGAAAATTGAATTATGATCATCACTTAACTGGATAAATACTCATGCTCACTCTTTTCCCTGTGCCTCTTCCCTCTCCATGGGCTACTTAACAGGAATTATACGCCGATTGACAGAATGTACCCTTTAGTTTTAAAAAATGCCAATTTTGCCATTGGTGATGGGGAAACCTACCCCAGCCTGCCCCTTATGAGTTCCAGATAGAAAAATAGAGCAAACCAAAGTCATGTTCTCTTGTTTTCCCTTGACCAGACATGGACTGTATAAATTCAGCTTATACAGTGATTGAAAAATAATTTTCACTAACTTTTTACAATGTAATGGTATTTTTATGGCACAATCAAGGAGATGAGGGTGTTTCAGCCATGAAATATGTATAATTGGGACAGAAGTGTTCATGTTAAAAGTGGTACATATTCACTTGCAAATCATTGTTCGTTAGGTTAGGCTCTCCACTTCAAAGTGCAAGTGCTAGGCCTGAGTATTAACGGAGTCTAACTAATGATGGATTGTTGGAAGAGTGCTAAAAAGGGGAATTGAAATATGGAGAGGCAGCTACCCGTCCGCTGAGCCTAAAGGGGGGGGGGGGATAGAACAAAATTGAGGAGATAGACAACAACGATAAGCATATGAAAGGTTTTCGTGCAGATGCACTATCAGAACCAAAGCAATGCCTATCATTCAGATCTAACATTTGACCAAAGGTTGTCTGTATAGAGTCCGGACACGATGGAACTCATCTGGACATGCTTTCCCAAGTTAGATGCTGAAGTTCGTGCAATGGAAAGTACCTTGGCCATCAGTAAACATAGAGCACTTCACACAAAAGTTTACATCGATGCAGTGGCAGATTTTGACTGGAGGGTCGGGGTTGGGGGGACAATAGAGTCAAACCCCACCTGAGTGGTATTGGGAGAGAAAAATATTACCTCTAAGGTAGGGCTAGGCTCTGTCCTAGAGGCACCTGGGGGCGGCTACCTTCTCCCCCATCTTTCCTCCCAATATTGCATCAATTAGGATGCATGTGGCCATGAAGCGCTGGCTGTTTTCAGCAAATTTAGTAAATCATCAAGAAAAGGAACATGTTACAGTAACACCACATACTTTTGTCATGAGAAAGGAACTAGTTACCAGTTCCCTTACTCTCCCCAAGAAAGTAACTTGTTACCTTAAAAGTTACTGGAAAAAGTAATTAGTTACTGTAATGCATTACTTTTACTTCGTTACCGCCTAACACTGCACATACCACCCGCTTGCCTAAGGTCTAACTGGTTGGTGTCATTCTCGGCCACATCTAAGATGAATCATTTTTATGTTACTTCAGCATTCTCTCTTTTCAGGAAATGGTTGCCTGTTTATAGGACTTAACAGTTAGTGTACTAGTAGGCCTACTAGTATGCAAGAAACACAGTGAATAGTAGGTATGTGTCAAAAGAAGAAGAAGGACTCAGACTACATGAAGGCAATCAGCTTTTCCCCAAAATGAAGTCCAACCTTACCAGGACCTCCTACAGGTAGAATAACCTTTAATTACGCTTATACTAATATCACATGGGCAACTATGATTAGGATTTATTGAACCAGGTGTTGAATTCTCTTGTGTAAAACTTCCAGAAGAGTAATATTTTACAGGTTGTCAACCTGTCGGTCATATCACAACCTTGAGATTTTTTGGGTTCCAACGAGGCATACACTATTTGTAATTGTCATCTAAACAAAAAACATCAGGCTGGAGGAGGTCAGACATTACTACTTGAGACTAAACTTAAGAGGCATATAGAAACTGAGTTTTGGGACCATTGAAATTGACACATAGAATTCTAAGAAATTATTAGCATGCTTCTCCCAGCTCTCCTCTTTTCATAGCACACACGAACCTGTGATTTATTCCCCTATACTCTGAGAACTACAAAAAATCATGTATGTGCTCCAACCCATAAGGTCTTCTCTTCAGGCTATAGCAGTTTACAGAACATCTTCAAGCACCTTGGTTTCTTTCACCTTGCCTTCTTACAGCACAAGTCCCTTGTACCAGATACGAATGACAATGGGATTAGTTGGTGACATTGTGTTCTTAGTGCATTCTGCCAAACCTCATACAGGACTTTCATAATACCTCCACTCCTCCCCATTGATCCCATTTCCTTCCCTCCCATCCCTCAAGCCTCTCAGGCCTCAAGGTACAACAGTGTATGATGTTGCCATTTTGCCTCCCTGCCTTTTCCAGGGCATACTTGCCTGTCCCCATACACCCTACCATGGCAAGTGGTCAGGAAAGTGCATGTGAACACAGCCTCATGACCATTTAAAATCTTTTAGAATGTGGATGGGGGCAGGAAATCTGGAAGGAAAATAAAAATATGCGTTTGATTGGAAAAAACTATTTATTTGGAATGAGTTTTTTCCACCATTGAATTGCACTGCTACAAAAATACAGTATGTAGGGAGATATGTCTTGTTTTTTTTCTTCTTCTTGGCTATCACACTTACCATCTTTTTTCTTTGTAGCCTGAAGGTCTTGTCCAAATTATTGCTTTTACTTTCTTGTGTTTGAATTGGGGGTACTTCAAGCCAGAAAGGTAACAGATGGTCTACCATGGGAAGGGGTTCAGCTGCCAAAAGGCTGGAGGAAACTAACTGCATGCTGGAGAAACGCCATCTGATGTTGGGAATCTTCTTTATCCCACATCTGCTCCAACAAACATCAGAGATGGGGAACTTCTATTTGGTTGAGATAAATCAGATGCCCCAGCTCACATTTTTCCATGTCCTATTACTGATGCACAATTCAGGTAGTCAAAGGTGCGTACAACACTGTCAAGTATACTATGTTATTAAAACCTCCACTATCTCTATTAACAAGTGTCACAAGCACTTAGTTATTTAAAGTAGATTCCCAAACCACTTTCGCTGAAAAAAAAAATAACCTTAATCATATTAACCTCATTCCCTGATCACACAGACCAAATAAAATTTAGATGAAAATTGAAAGGATTCAAGTGAGTATGCATTTATTCCATGACATTTTCCTTGAAATTTACTTGAGAATGTCTTATGTATGTGTATAATTTTCCAGGTAATTGTAGGTATACTTTTAATTTAATGCAATTATGGAAAAATACTTAATACTTTCACTTGAATGCATAATTGGAAAAAAAAAGTTTGTGGGATTTAAATTCACAGCTGTCTGTCAAATTTTTAATGGGACATTTAACAAATTATCACATTTCAAATGTATTATGTAAAGTTTCTTCCTTCTCTCTTGTCATCCTATGTGGGCTTCTTTTGCAGGAGCTGTTTCTCTTTCCTACCACTGACCCTCCTCTCATACTTTCTCTTTCCCATTGGCAGAAGGTTAACTTCTGATCACTTATGATAGTGGTCAGAATTTTAACTATATATCATTTACTTGCTTTTGTTGTATTGTATTGTATTATTTTGTTGTCATTCATAGTTGATGCTCTTCTTTAACCTTCTTAACCCAACTTGAAGCAAGAGCTCTCTTGCTTAAATGTATAAAACTAAATTTGTATGTGGATATATATTTACAATATTTATTGGCAATTCAGTCTCTTTCATGCAAATAATGACTTTTCTCATGAAAAATTTTTCTTCTAGGAAGAACTTTTCGAGAGAGCACTCAATGAGAATATCATTGTTTTCTTGGGAACTGGAACTGGAAAAACTTACATTGCTCTCATGCTCACCAAACGCATTGCTGAACAGGAGCACATACTCAGGTAAGTGTATGCTCTTCTTAGAGTACCAGTTTGATCATAATCTCATCAGGAATCATTCTTAATTGTTTAAACCCAATGGAAGATAACTGCAACTAGAGTAGAACAAATGAATTTATATCTGAATCCCAACTATTGGCTAGCTGGTTGCCTGCTTTCAATTAAAAGCCTGATGAAGGGTGCATCTGCTGGGTTTTCCTACTGGGATTCAAGCACTGAGCTCCTATTGCTGGAGTAGGTGTTGGAGCAGTTGTCAATTATGAGCAAATATACCTGTAATTTCTTCTATTTGATGGTAATGTACCATCATATTTCCATGGAAATATGGTATATCATGGAAATATGTGATGGGTATTTTGATTTGAACTAAGATTATTCAGGTAAGATTTAGTAGTGAGTTTGATTTGGGGTTTGAATGCTTGTCATTGATGCCTTGTTGTTTTGGTTGGATTGCACTTCTTGAAAGTATTGTGCACTCCTCATTGTACACTTGCTTGGAGTTTCATTTTAGTTGTCAACTACTTAGAGCTTGGATGTCAATTCATCACTTCAGGTCTGGTTTCAGTTGTCTTCCATTGTGGTTAAACATTAACCAATTTGATAAATTTCCAGTCTGAGACCAAACTGGTATTTTGAGATGACTTATTGTCTAGTATGGTAACAGTTGCAGCAAGACAAAACAACAACATTTTAAAGCTGCTGTAACTGAAAAAAATTTATTTAAAATTTATTTGTTATTTCATGGAAAGTTAAAGCTATTATATGTTGTGAAATCTCTCTGAAACCGATGATAGCTAGAACTGAAATTGATTCCAGAATTTAAACCATTCATTTAACTAGTAGCATCATGAAGAATGTTAGTGTTTTAAAGTCTTATTGTGAATCTACCTTAGTTTTTGATTGACTGCATCCTTTACTGTGGCAGAAGTGGAAATTACTTATTTCATCTTTATTAACTGATTTTACAAGTGTAGTTATTTTGAGGCAGCAGATGTTGTTCAGTTGATGACATTTGTCATCATCCAGAAGGGGGTGGGGAGTTGCAATCAATCAAAAATAACTTTATATTGGAATTATGGGAGATGATGTATGTATGACAGGTTCTTTCTTAGTCTGTTGGTATGGACCACCAAGTATTTTTTTAAAATGCTCATCCAATCTGGGCATGGTATTCATATGAAAGATGTGCAGAGGAATTTTAATTATATTTTTTTTAACAGACCTGATGGGAAGCGAGTCATATTTGTTGCGAACAGCAGAGTATTGGTGCAGCAGCAAGCAGAGTATTTTAGAACTCATCTCCCTCAAAATTTTGAGGTGAACTTCTATCTTGGGAGTCCAGCCATTGATATGTGGAAAGGAGACAAGTGGCAAAAAGAATTCAAAAAGCATCATGTGAGTATGTTGGCACTTTTTGCAAATCAGCTGTAATATTTCTTCTGATGTGTTCCAAGCTAGTTGGTTTATTCCTTTTTATTTATTGATTACTTGTCCTCCTTTTCATTTATGATGTCCTTCCTTGTTTTCTTTGCAGGTCATGGTGTTCAGTGCCCAAGTTTTTGCAAATGTCTTGAATCATGCTTACTTCAAGATGAATCAAGTCTGTCTTCTCGTTATGGATGAGTGTCATCGAACTGTGGAGAGACATCCATATGCTGAGGTATATGTTCATTCTATGCTAAACTCAACTTGTGTGCTGTTGGTTGAAGAGGAAAATGGATATTCTTCCCTTGTCTCTCTTGGTAGGCATAAGGTAACTTGGGCCAATGACTTATTAAATATTTTATATATGCTTGATTTTATATTCTGAATCTGGAATATGCCTAAATCATCCAAGGATTCCATTGGATGAAAGCTTCATTGTCTTTGTCTATGTACTGCTATATATGAAGTTAAATGATATTGGCCTTACATCACTAACTTGGATCATCCAGAGGGTAAAGCAGAGCTGCTGATTTGTCATACTTATGCACATTAAATTGTTTCATTCAGTGAGTGTCAATGACCACATTGACTGGTACAAGCAATATCATAAAGATATGAGTTCTTGGTGACTGTGAAAGTAATTGTGTGTGAACTGCAATTGATTTTGCCAACAGATACTTATTTTTATTTCTTATTTTGTCCAGGATCCTATGGCTTTTAGAAAATATTTAGTTAAAACCTACCTCTTGTGAAAACATTCTGCATTTGCAGATTGATGCTCATTTGCCTGTATCTTTGGTGTTAAGGACCTCCCTTCCATGTCTGCCCTTCGTGTGGTTCTTGCTACCTAGAAAGTATGCTCAATTGAGATTGTAGTTGCCTCTCAGAACAAGTATTGGGTAATTACCTCAATTTTATTTTCTCATAACTAGCTGTGCTATCAGAAATTGTAAAGTCAACTATTAGCCAACATTTGTTTGGATTTGTTTTAATATTATTACCTACTGTCTCCATTTCTGATTCAGATTTGTTTAGTCTCTTGGCTTACTTTCCTCTAATCCTACATTGCACATTGTGCTGATTGTTTCAAAGATTATTAATATCCCCTGACCTAAGATGTAACTGAGAAGATTCAAGTTAAAACTCATGTACTGTCAGAACTCATGTCTTGGTGAATGGATCTCTTGCAGTATGTATGAAATTGCAAGGGAGTTCATCATACTGGAGGGTATGGAGTTAGTGGCTACATTGGAAAAAATTGCTATTTCCAGATCATGAGACACTTGAATATGTATGAGAAATCAGAATGGCCAAGAATCCTTGGACTTACTGCATCTGTGCTCAACAGCAAAGAAAAACCACATTCTGTAATCAAGAAGATGAGGAAACTGGAGGCCATTATGGCTGCAAGAGTTGCAACACCTATGGACATGGAAAATGCTGCAGGGTATGCATCCAAAATTAAATCTCAGGCTCATGGATTCTACAGACTTTTATAAAATTTGTATAGAGGAATCTGGACCATTTCATGTTCTAAAAAAAAAATGAAGTACCCAAGATACCCTCTGACATGTATTCCTCAGCACCTCCAACATTCCAGCATTGCTAGAATAATTGCTTAGGGTATGGTAGGGCTATTTGAGTCAAACATTCTGGGAAGAGAGGATGTGATCATAGCTATGCTCAGAGGGTTGCATGTTTATCTATTGTTTCCTCCCATTAAGTGTTCCTAAAATCTCATGGCCCCTTCATTTAAGTACCTTACATGAATTCAGTATATCTGGCCCAGTCATTGATGTTATTGACAAGCATGAACTTAATGACTGGGGCACCATCATGGTTTGAGACTATAAGAAAAGAACAGAAAATGTCACTTGGGCAGATGCAGACATGACGGGGTGAGAAGAAAGAAATGTTCTCCCTTTTCATCTGATTGCTATATCTGTACTAATTAAAGTGTCTGGGCTCAAGTGATTTTGAATATGAATAATACTGGTGCTACTCTTTTCTGATTGAAAGCAATTTATTTGAGACAAATGCAAGCAATGATTTTAAGGAAATAGTTTTCCTCTGTGTGAGGTTGAAAATCCCTGTTGTGCTTACATATTTATGTAAGCAAGTTTAGGTAAACATTCTTATTTTAATTCTTAAACAAAGAATAATTCTTCAAATTATTTAAAACATGGGAATCAATAATGATAGATGAAGTTTGGATTTTAATAACTTACATCTATCAAAAGCAATGTTCAATGTTCCCACTTCTTCTTTAACATCCACTGTCAGCTTAGCTTGCCACTGCTTATTCTCCTAGAGCCATTGCTTGAAGGATGCTTATCCTTGTGGGAGAAAAGGTGTATGGAGCTGTAATTTACAGCCTTCCACAGTAAAAATTAGTATTGGCTGAAAACTATTGGATGTATTTCCTTTAAATGAATTGTATTCAATGAGGAAATAGAATTAATCCCCTGAAATTGCATGAGTACATCTTAATAATGTCACCCACCCTGTAGGTTTACATTGAGAAAGGTGTTCTTAAATTTTTAATTGCTTGATTGATGTATTTGAATGCAAATGTTGTCTGAAAAGAGTACTGCTTCACTGAAATGAATGAAGGACCAATTAAGTATTGGTTTTCATGTACAATAGAAATCAGAATTGCCTAACCCAGTTAGTAACCATTATAAGCCAGTCATCACTCGAGAAACTCCTGGTGAACATCCAGGAATTCAATTGAAGACCCAAATAACTGTTGTCATTTTGACTCCACAAAAATTGCAAATTTGCATCCAATCTGTCCAATTTATTTGCCAATCTATTAAACTAGATGTCATATGGAAGTATATTTGAATGGTATTCAAGGAAATCATACTGCTGCCACATAAAAATCAAAAGCAAAAAAGTGACCCAAATAGCCCTACCTTATCCTAATCTGTCTCATTTTGCGACTGGAACTGGAATTTGATTATTGCAAATTGCAACTGAATTTGAATCTGTAAGGTGATTTTCATTTTTATCTTTACCTGTTCTTGTTGGTCCACTGAAGAACCATGTAAGCATGTATGGTTTAATAAGAGTAGTCATGGAAAATGGAGAAATATAGGAAATAAATAAAGATTTAGCTAGGATTGTATTTTTTTTAGGATGTATTGTAGCTGGACTTTTAGCATCCTCCTTTTCCTTGGGATTCCATTTTTGGCACCTCGTGTATTCACCCCATTTCTCCTACCAGAGTTAAGGCAATATGGCCGACCACAACAACTAACCCATCTAAAGTTAACCTGTTGTGCATTTTACAGTCTAAAGTATTGATGATAGAGTCTGATGGGAATTGATTAACGATTTTCCAATGAAATGGGTAGAAGTGCCCCTTTCACATAGGTGTTTTAACATTGATTATGAAATAGCCTAATAACATTATCATCTTATCCTCTCTTTGTTGTATCATCTGCCATGTTTCTATGATCAAGTGAACTATTTCTTTTCAGCTTTGGCACTAAGACCAATGAAGTCATAGTGAGCTGCTTTGACATGGGAAACCTCGAAGAGATTGGGATCAATGCCATCAAGGAGACTGGAGAGGCTCTTCTTAGAAAACTGACAGAAATAAAGAAGAAAATCACCACAAGTGCCAGGGATATGCCTGATATTTATCACATGATAGATGAGCAGGGGAGGAATCCAGCAAAGGAACCCATGGCAATTATTAGAGAATTTCTCAGAACACTTGAAGAATCAGGTTGGCAGCTTCTCCTTGTGACTGCCACTAGAGCCTTATCTGTATCTGTTTTTTCTGCACATGTTTCATTGATAGGAGTTTGGTTTGCCTGGAAAGCTACTGAAGTGATTATCGCAATCATTGGAGAAAGATCCAACCCACAAGAGGTAGCACGTATGTATGATGTGGTAGTCAAATACCTGAAGAAGGTTCGGTAGGTGGAAGTTCACAGAATTCTTTCAGTGCATTTTGCAGCGTGCAAATCTTTAGCTGTGTGTTTGAATGTTTCTGTGGCAGGCAAGTTTTGGGGAATATCTTGTTGCAGACAGGACAAGATGAGTTGAACCAATGTCTGAAGTTATCCAGTGGGAAACTGAAGCGTGTTGTGGAGTTACTCAAGCTGTATTCTCCTCTCAGTGATACTGAGATTGCCACTCCCAGAGCATCTTTGGATGCAAATAACTTACGAGGAATAATCTTCGTTCAACGTCGCTTTACTGCTCGAATGGTCTATGAATTCCTGTTGGTTAGTCCATTTCCTGAGATTGATGCAAGTTTCTACAGCATGAAGCATGAGTGATAGGGTGAGTGGTTATAATTTTACTTTTTTTCATACATAATTTTACAGCATATGAAGAGGAATGATCCAGATCTGGATTACTTGGAACCCCAATACATTGTGGGGAATAATGATACATTCCTAATGTCAGAAACAGTGATGAATGAAGAGCAAGCAAAGGCTGAGGAGGTCATGAAACGGTAAATAGGAAACTTCTTCCTCTATAAAGTAATTTCACCCCTGAAACTTGGGTGAATAGGGTTGAATTACCTTTACTGCCCTTTTAGTTTCCGGTGTGGGGAGGTCAATCTCATGGTGGCAACAAGTGTATTGGAGGAGGGCTTGGATGTACCCCAGTGCAACTTGGTGGTGAGATACGACCCACCCATGGACTTCAGGGCTTATGTACAATCCCGAGGCAGAGCTAGGTCAAAGGTCAATGCTCATTACATCCTCTTGACTGAGCATTCAAAACTGAAGGATTTTACAGATGCAGTTCGCTTGTACCATGAAGTGGAAGCTGTGAGTGTCATTATTTCTTCTTTCTTGGCAGCCTCCTAGTTTTCCTGTACATATATAGCATCATGAAAAGCATTCTAGTACAAGAATTCAGTATTGTACTAGAATGAGTACACATTGTTTACCCCCCTGTCCCTGTGGGTCCTGACTTGTATGACTTCAACAAGAAACTACTTTTGGTGCTGAAAATAACATTTTATTATGGGACTGTTGAGATGCCTTAAAGTTGTTTCTTTTTCACCAACAGTATCAATGCACCATGAGGGTTAAACATTAGAAGTGCCTAAAAGGGGACAGAGAAATCTTTCATGTCTTCCAGCATAGCTTTGAGGTGCTTGTTTGGGAAACCTCTAGTCTCCATTCTCCTGGAGCACCCTAGAACACCCAGACCAGAGGTGTTGTGTAGAAATGCCCTTGGTGGACTTTCATGAACATGTCAGCAAATTCAAATTTAAATGTACTTTCCTGAAGCAAAGTCTTTTTCTTACCAAAGTTTTTCCAATGTACTCCACATGGTGGCTAAATATTTTATGCCACCCTGTATAGAACATTCACTCTGGTAATATGGTAAATGACAGCTGAGATACCCCTCATGCAGCATAGCAACTAAACAGGCTTTGAGTGCTTGACAATCTCAAATCCATTTTTCTTGAATAAGAAATTGCCTTCCCCAGAATTTCCCTTTATTACTAGGTTGTAACGAAAGTTTTTGTGCATACAAACAATGCAAGAGTCTGCGAAGCACATTTTTTGGTCACGCATTCTGAATGCTGTAATTTTGATAAATTTAGCAATTTAAAAAAAGCAACATATATTTATATGCGGCATAAAATGCACTTCAAAATGGTACCAAATACATGTATAAAAATTTATTTAGAAAATGATGCTGAAATAAATTTTGTATTTATGCACAAAAACTTTCGTTACAACCTAGTATCTCCTAGAATGAATGATCCTGATGTTTTTGGCTGGAGATTTGATTTAATTGCATGAGGTATGTATGTGTTTGTTAATTGCTTATGCTGTATAATTTCTTTGGTGTCCAAAAAAAATATGTAAATTTGTATTATGACATACCATGAGCCAGATATGAGGACATGTTGTTTAAATGGCCTGCAATGAAGTTTTCAATTATTCACTAAAACAGTGGGGCTCCAAAGTGGCCCATGGGCCACTTGAAGCATGCAAAATGCCATCAGTAAATATCCAATTTGGGCATCCCTGCACTAAAGGTTATGAACAATAATGGCACTGTTTGATTACTGAAGATATAATGCTAGAAGAAGCAATCCCTAAAGGGATCTCAATGAGGCATCATCATCATGGATGTTAAACTATTCCAAACATTCTGTGACAGCATCAGCTGCAATTGTCAATATCTATCTGCAGTATATGCATCTCATACATGGGTTGTTCTAAAAGTCTGGTGAAAGTTATATTTGTCATAATCCCAGAAGCAGACTTTTATTCCCTTTTTCTTTCTGTAGGGTTTAAGAAGTTCTAGTGAATTTTCATATAATATTTTCCCCAGTAAAAGTGCCTGATTTTTGTGAAGACATGAGCCCTCTCCTGCCCTTTGAAGTGCAGTTGTATTACTATGATTTTCATGCAATTTTCTTGGAGTTTCAAGCTTCAAGAAATGTTTGAGTGCCATGAAAGGCTTGTTAACCCTTTTCTTGACAGGGATATCTGAACACTTCGAGGATGTTGACTTAAAACTCGCCGATGCCAGGGAAAGGGTAAGCCTTTCACACTGGAGCAACATCTAAAAAGTGTCAAGTGATCTTGGTAGGTAAAGTGATCTTGAAAATGTCCTTGGTGAAGGGCATCCAAAAACAACTGTCATCGATGCAAATGTAGAGAAATTGAATAATCTAATTGAAAATGACCCAAAAATAACCTACCTTCCCCTTGAAGACACTGTTGGCATTAAATTGACAGCATATAAGAAAAAATTCTGAACAAACACTTGAAAACTAGAAAAATTGTCACCAAAAAACCCCCAAAACCAATCTGATGGAGAGAACCACATGAGAGTGAATTTCTGCAAAATGCTGCTTCTAAAATTCTACTTAAGGCACAAAAATGTGCCTCTGATTGCATAACTAGTGATGAAATGGCTCTATCAATACGATCTACTAACTAATAATTTAAGTAAAATCATAACCTTTCATGGTACTCAAACAAAATTTTGCAAGCCCCTCTTCCCCCCTTAAATGGGGCCCTTCAAATTTTTGCAAATTTTGGCCACTCATGCTAGGCAAAAAATTACTGGAACTTATAAAACCCTGTAGAAAAAAGGGAATAAAAAGTCAGCTTCTGGCATTATGACAAATATAACTTTCACCGGACTTTCAGAACATCCCACATGGTTATGAGTTCTACTGCACTGATTCTGTATGGCAACCACTGTCTCAAATTTTATGAGTAATTTCTTCAGCTAATATAGGTCAGTGTTGACTGATGGCTTATTGAAGACCTTGGGATGGGGATCATGAAGAAGAAACATTAGATATGATGCCAGGACCCAAGACTTGTTTGTATTGCAAAGAAGGAAATTATTTAATGCAGAACAGACTGTGCGTCTTCCCTACAGTTCCTACAAGACCTGGTTGAGCAAGACCTGGATGATCCAGAAGAGGATATGGCTTCAGAGGCTCTAGAACCCTTCCGTCCATTTGGGAATGTTACTCCCCAGGTCACCTGTGTTTCAGCAGTATCTCTTATTCACCAGTGAGTACCTTGTAGTAATGTTTGGAATTAGTAGAATGCTATTGGGTCATGTGGTAAACTCAGAAGTGGCATGCTCCTGAATAAGAGTTGTGTGTGTGTGTGTTGATAAAAGTCAACAGATCACTGGCACTACTTTTCTGTCCTGATTTCAAGGATGCCATTGGTTCATTTTTAGTAGGTTTTGCATCCAGGCAGGAAGTGACCATGTGTTGTATTTTGTCACACTGGCATTTTGTTTATGAAAGGAAGATAGATCTTGGAAATGAATGCTGCTCTCATACAATTTTCCTGAAAAGCTGGATATGCCCTTCCTGCAACTTAACCATGTAATGCTAAAAACATAGCTGCAAGGTTTACTTTGCATGACAGATGCTGTCACAATAGCATGACAAGGATTAAATGTTCTCCCATCCAATTGTTTAGATACTGCCAAGTCCTGCCATCAGACTCCTTTACTCAACTTGCTCCAACCTGGTTACTCCTGGCATTTCGTAAGCATGGAGAAGAATACCACCCAATCACACGACAAGAACTTCTGGAGGCACTCAAATTGGAAACACAAATCCATCGCTACCAGGATGATGATACTGTATTCATGGACACTGCAGTTGATTATGCTCTTTTGGGCAAGGCCACTCCTCCAGATATTTTCTATAGCTACAAGCTATTTCTTCCCATGAATTCTCCTGTACGGGAAGTCATTCAGGTGCTGTATTGGTATACTTCATCTTGTCAAAGAGCATTAATCTACTGCACAAAGAGCTTGTTTTGGTATCTGTAAAATATTATGCTACAGGGTGACATATTCAAGAAGCGCAAGATTGCCAAAGCTCACTGTGCCCTGAAGGCCTGTAAGAGACTGTATGAAACTGGAGAGCTGGACCGAGAGCATATCCGTCCCATAAAAGTGACATTTGATGAATCAGAGGATGAAGATGAGCAGGAGGGTGAGGGGAAAAAAGGGAAAAGAGGTACCAAGTCTCATAAAAAGTATTATGAAAAGAAGGTAAGGCATGATAAGGTCTTTCATCTGCAAGTGCTTGGTTGAAGTTTTGTTTCCTTAGCTCTTTCTTCACAGGGTATTTTTTTGTATCTATTCATATCAATTCACAGACCTGTGAAGCTCTCCAGGACTGCATACCAGAAGTGGGACAGGAAAGCCACCTGTACAGATTCTGTTTCCTCTTGAAGGATAAGCTGGACCTTGGCCCCAGTCACAAAATCAGGGATCCCTCTCAGTGTCCTTTCTCTTGTGGGATGCTGACCTCCAAACCACTTCATCAGGTAGGTCAATTTGTCCATCTCATTTTTATGCTCCATTGACATGATCATTTTCTTGAAATTGGAATTGAGCAAGTGGTGTAATCCCAGAATTCAGGAGTTCTCTTGAAATGGGCATATGTGCAAAAGATGAACTATGAGACCTGGAGAAAAACTTTTCCGAGCTGATCAAAACTCTGTTTCAGTCAAACAATATCTTAGATCTTATCCCAAGTGAACTTGGTGGTTATTGAATTTCTTCATTCACATTGTTGGAAAGCAAACAGAAAGTGTTTATGCACTCATGCCCTTTTCCCATATCCATGCTGCTGAAACTTTTCAACCAGTCTTTCACCACTTCTTTCCAGATAAAATAAATTGCCAAAAAATAAATCTGATTTTGAATAAAATCTGTGAAGAAAGCCAATGAAAATATGAATATTCAGGACAGGTTTCATTCACCAATTACTCATCAGTGATCCAATATTCATTTATACATCATTTGGATCTTCAATTGTTTCATGGATATTACTAACTTCTTACATCCTTCCAGAGGTTTGGATGACTGTGCCTCTTTCTTTCCTTTTCCTCCTGTCTGGTTTCTTTCTCATTCTCAATTTCAGTTTGAAAATAGAAAAATTTTCCACCAAATCATTCAGCAAAGCAGGTGATTATGGAATATTCATGGAGGCAACCATATTGAAATTGCTTAGCAGTTGGCTTGTTAAATAGTGAGAGCATAAGGAAATTGGCTTCTCCATTTCTGAATATGTATCTTAACCACCTGCTGACCACCCCATCCTCTGACTTGTCACTTGAAGTAGCACAATGATGTGGATATGGAAAAAGGGCATCTGGGCAATTATGCCCTCTTTCCAGTGAACTCCTCAATTAGTATGGAAAGAGAAAAGTTCAGGGAACCCCTGATGACAAATACTACTAAGTAGACCTTGATCATCAGATGAGCTCTTGTTGGATTAAGCTTATAGATTTTCTTTCATTTTGACCAAAATTTGGTAAGAAAATACCTTGTTCAATCTTAAAATTCAAGCATTTTGGTGACTCTTCCCAGGTGTTCTTGCTGTCAGGAAGTGAATATTCTGTTATGTTTGTGCAACTAGGTGAATCCCTTTCTATTGTATACCAAAAATGGAGAGGAAGAGGTAATTCTGGAGGATTTGGGCAAGGTGATCCTTTCAGGAGAGGAACACAGGGATGCCCTAGCATTCCATCGCTTCCTCTTTGAAGATGTGATAGAATGTGGGAAATTTCCGGCCCAATTTTCACCACAGTCTTCATGGGGTCCCATCTGCACTGTAATCGAGAATGGTAGGCTTCTCTTTTCAATTAATGCTATAGTTCTTACTCTTGCATAAGATCAATCACTCAATATCTAAGGCACCAATAAACTCATAGGCTGTCTTTGAGCTGTCAATTTTTCTTGATACTGAAGGGGCATTTTATTCCCATTGTCCCAGCAAGATTTGTTATTGTAATGAAATTGCAAATTCGTTGGACATGCAAAAGGTAATGATAATGTTTTTAGAGGCTTGTTTGCTTTTATGTTCTTCCTTAGGCAAGAGATATCACAAAAAGTAGAATGGTGCTTATGAAGGTGACATGTTCCTACTGGTTTCATAACAATATTGATGTAGAGTATTCAAACTTTGTAGCTAGGCATCATGAGGTGAAAAAGGCAATGATGAGTATAGCATATTCATAGGTTGATTTCAAAACGGCAGTTCAGTTCTAGTTTCAGTTCAGACTATAGTCTGACTGTAGTTCCACTGTGGTCAAAGTGACTATTCACATAACAAAATCCCAACTGGTATTGCAACTGAACTAAAACTGGAACTGAATTGTGACTGGACTGTGGTTTTGAAATCAGTCATAGGCCCAGGATATTGCTGTAGACCTAGTGTGCTGAATTGTAAAAAAGAAAAAAAAATACCAACAAGTTAAGAAGATAAGAAGCATAAAAAGAGCATCATTCTTTATAGAAAATAGATGAATTTAAGCAGATGTTTGTGAACATGGACTTCAGAGCTCATCTTTTCCCATAATTTGAAAATGTGACTTTATTTGCTATGAATCTCAACTCTATTATTTCTCAGTTCCTCCATTGATGTCATAACTAAATTAGGCTGCATTTGGTTTTTTGGAAGTATTTGATCTGATGGAGCAAAGTTATCAAAGTGAATTATACATTCCAAAGTTCACAAAGTACTTAGCCTGCATAATTTCTGATGGTATACCCAAAGGAGACTCACTTCTTTGGTGGGTTTTTGTCAAGCTTGTTTTTCTTCCACCTTCAGTCCTTCATTTCAGTCTTTTGGCCCCTCCTTCCCAGTGGAACCCTTACCTTTCCAATACCCTTGGATGTGAGAACACTGAGCAGCTATGAAGATTGGGCAGGAGCTCTGAGCATCCAGATAAGAGGATGAAAGGCAGCACAGTTAGAGATTGGTGAGGTGAATTTCAAGGAAATGTGCATGTGTATCATGGTCGCTCTTCTCTGGGATACTTGGATTTTCCTTCACATTTTCCTCATTCATGCTGACATGACTGAAGTCAGCTGATGCACAGGAAGCTCAATCATTCCCTATGGAATCCCAGAGGCCCTATGAAGTCTATCTAGGATGTCACCCTTTTGTGCATGCAGGTCCTAAACTTCCAAATAATCTTTTGAGTTTTGGGCCTGTCCTCATATGGGTTGATGTGTCTGGTGATATTGGTGACTTATACCCTTTTGTGGACCATCATTAGTTAGTTTTACTGTTGGCATAGAGCAGGGGTGCACAACTCAGAAGGCTGTGAGGGCTGTTCGCAATTTTTACTCACCTACTGTGAGCCACAGTCTGGCTGACCATAGCTGTGACCAACAGGGCAGGATCAGTCATGGCAGGTCATGGGCTGAATGTTGTACACCCCTGGCATAGAGCATGCAGTCTGTCTCATCTGTACTCAACATTTCAATTTGTCCTCACAATCTCTGGCCAAAGGGCATTCTTTTGCAGCTCAGTGTGGTAGTGGTAAATGTGGTGGGTCATGCATGGGGGGCTCCCATTCTCTCTCTTGTTAATATTCTCTCCTGATGAATTGCACAGGCATTGTATTTTGTCCCATTTTCTTTTCTAGTGCTCAATTTTTTAGGACTCTATAGTGTGTTCAGCTGTGCTCTGCTGAGGTCTTTGGTGCATCCAATTTTTTTTTACTGAGCTTGATGGCTTTGAGTCTCTGACATTTGAGCCAAGAGTAATTCTTTCATCAGTTGAAGCTCAAATATGAATTTTTTTTGCTTAAAATAGACAAAAAAAAAGGTGGCTCACAATGTCAGTAGTAGCAGCCTAAGCCTTTATGCAAGTGGTGAGAGGACGGCACCTGAGATAGCTGGTGTTTGTTATTGATTTCTCTCAGAATTTCCTCAGAATTTCTTTGAATTAACCTATTCTGAAACTTGCATATTTACATTCAAGAGGTGATTGGACTGAGAAATATGATTACACACAATATCATAACCTTTGTATTATTTTTTTAATGCTTTATTTGACTTCATATCCCTCTAAATAATCGGTCTGTGGTATCAATAGGCTGACATGAAATGCAGGCCATTTCAGGTATGATTCCATTCTCAGGGAGAGTGGCTTGGGGAATCATATATTCTGCTCTGAAAACAATGGATGTGGCACACAAATTCATCCCTCAGTCCATGGGTGTCACTTCAAAAGAAACTGAATTGGAAGATGCAGTACTTGTGTCTACATACACTCCATACCAACGAGTAAGGCTCTTCCATCAATAGGGAGCCTCTCCCTGATGCATTTTATTGCATCAGGGAGAGGCTCCCTATTGCTCCCTATTCTCCCACATGCATATCATGAGTTGATCTTTTATTGTGTCTTTCCATTGCAGAGATATTTTGTAAACAGAGTGTGCCATGAACTGAACCCTTCATCCACTTTCCCAAAGGAAGAGTTCAACACTTACTCATCCTATTATAAGATTAAATATGACTGCCTTATCCAAGACCAGACACAAGCTCTCTTGGAAGCAGAACCTGCAACACGCACTGTGTTTCTTCTCAATCAGAGGTACTATGTTTACTGTCAATTATTCATGTTGTAGTTGGTTAATGCTTAATAGTAATAACATTCCTTATCTGCTCATCATCTGCATTTGGTGTTAGATTCTTGGATGACATGGAGGAGATTCCTGATTTGTCAAAAAGTGCCAAGAAAAAACAGAAGAATGCACGAAGGTTAGAGGATAATGTACATCTTGTTGGAGAGCTGATGGCCATACACCCATTGAGTGCAGGGCTTTACATGCAAGTCCTTGCTCTACCATCCATCCTGCACCGAATAGATGGAATCGGAAGAGCCTCTCTCATTGCTTCTGTCATTTCATGCAATGCTTCAGTTCACTCCTTGCCAATGGGTATGCCAATCAGTAGCTCAGGATATCTTAGGGTGGATTCAGAATTTTTGTCATGTGGTTTTTTCTGCAGGACATGCAAGTGCTAGAAAGGTGTGGCCAATGGTTATTGACCTACCCAAGAAGTTTGACTTCGAGCTTCCATATTTGGATGCTGAGATAGTTCTTGAGGCCATTACCTCTGCTAAAGCCCATGAGAAATTTAGTCTTGAGAGATTGGAAATGCTTGGGGATTCTGCACTCAAGTTCTTAGCTACAATCTCAGTGTATAATGAGCAGTGTCCTGAGGGTCTCCTCACCAAGAAAAGGTTTGTTAGTAATGAAATTCCCCTTGCATGATAAGTGATTTGTTGAAATATTCTGAGACTGTCATCAATCTAAGGACACAAAGCCCTTATCTTTCTGAATTTGAACTCTATTACTTAGTTAAGTAAATGCCATTATGAACAGCATGCCATAGTGCTTTATTTATTTTGGAAATGTGAATTATGCTGATTTGTTTGGTTTATCTGGGTTTGTAGTTATAAATTCCATCCTACTAGTGGAGATATGTACATGCTCTGGCCTAAATAATGCAGAATACTCTGAACATGTGGCCTGTGCCATTTCTTCAGCATGCAATTTAAGCTTTGTCTCATGCTGTTCCAAGTAATGAAGTTCACATTAGCAGGTTCTACTTTGCACCTTATGGTATTGTTATTAAGTTGTGTTGCTGCCCTCATTCAAGTTAGAGATAGGTCATCCCATTATTTTTTGGCATGCAGCTGGTACACATGGGTTCTGGAGACCTAAAAGTTTCTTTTGTCTTATTGCATTGGCTGAGACTCACCCTGTATAAATACATGAATGCAAAAGAATGTTTTTGCATCAACTTCTCTGATATCTGAAAATAGAAAGGAGGATACTGAGAACCAAATGAATATTCCTTCAATACAATAGGAAAGTGACATGTATGAATATGCTGTTAGGTCCAGTGGATCCATCTGTACCAGTTGAAGGTTAAATATCTGGGTTTTTTTTCATGGTCACAATTGTGTTCATTCAGAAGTCACTTCAGTTTTTTGCATTTCAGCTCTAGTCCATTGTCAATCAATAGTGCTGTATTATTTCTGCAACAGGATGAAGCTGGTCTCAAATAAAACTCTGTGCAAGTGTGCAGACGAGGTCAGATTTGGATCCACTCAGCTGCCTGAGTTGCTCAGCTATGAACAGCTGAGCCCTCGAGCCACATGGCTCCCACCCTTGTATGACACTCCTAAAAACTTGGAGGAAGGTCTCATCAAGAGTGACAAAGAGGCGTCTGACTTCAAAGCTTCCATCATCCAGGTATAATGGATTGACTATTCAGTCACCTCTCACTCCACTGTGATGTGTTATAAAATCATGCATCATCATGTTGTAACATTGGACTTTGCAGGGCTTGGATATTGAAGGAAAAGGGGAGAATGAAATTGCTCAGATGTTCATATCTGCTGTGGAGAATGTTGGTGGAGCAGGAGATGCATCATCTAAGGACACATTCCATCTTATGAGACATCATCAGATTGGAGATAAAGCTATTGCTGATTCAATTGAAGCTCTGATAGGTGAGTTCCTAGCCCTGAAGCTGAGAGTTTGAGTTGGACCTCACGTATGAATGAAATGAATGAAAGAGAGCACATAAAGTGTTACCCAGTATATACATCAGTCTGTCTCATTCACAATTAACATGGACCTACACTCTACCTATTTTCATGGATGTATGTTTAAAGTGAATCCTCAACAAAGTGTGAAGTGAAGAAAGTCATTATATTAATTGATTGGTTGCCAATTGACCAGTGGTAGTTCTCATGGGAACCTTCACAATGTGCTAGGTACCCCAGTGGGCCATGCATATTAACTTTTTCTATAAGGTAATGATATATATGCCAAGCGTTATATAAATTTTTGCTATGCAGAGTTCATGGCCTGCATGAAGATGCATCTTCTGACTGGTAGAGACTAAATTGTGATTCAGCTTTTGTTTCCTTTCCAAACATTAATGTTTGGACTTTGAAGTATGATAAATTGAGTAAAGGTTTCAAATCAGACAGTCAAGATTCAGTTTGTTAATTGCCATATCACTGTTCAAAATTGATATAATTATTATGGATACAAGTACTTCATTCCAGGACATAATCATCCAACATATGACAGTAATTATGAAGTGCATGATGCAACTTACCTGAATTTTAAACATATCTCCTCTTGCATAAGCATGACTTGCAGGATTATACTTGTCATTGACATGAGGTGATTAACAGGCATGTGCCAACTGATATCAATGCAGTCTGCTGTGAGGATGTGAAACTTGGAAGATGCATGCATTTTGTTAAGATTGCATACTGCATACTTTTTTCATCACCATATATTTTAACTGGTATTGTAATATGTTCAGAGCCATGTATGCCTTAAGGGATTTTGCACTGTTTATTATTGCTGCTTCTGTGCATGCAGTGAGAGTTGTTGCATACTCTACTGAGTTTTTTTTTTTTTTTTTTCCTCAAGGAGCTTACTTGTTGAGAGGTGGACTGAGTGGAGCAGCTCAGGTGCTGAAATTCTTTGGCTTGACTGTGGAAAATCCAGAAACTTTGTTGAATGAAGATCCCCTGTTGGACAAAAATTGGAAATTGCTTCCTCTTCTCTTGGATGATGTTTGTGGAATTCAGAAATTCCTGGGGTACAAGTTCATGAATCCCCATTACCTGTTACAGGCCTTGACTCATCCTTCCTGTACCAGAAACAGGGCCACCAGGTGCTACCAGCGCCTTGAGTTCCTTGGTGACTGTATTGTTGGTAAGGTGAAGTCATCTGCCTTGAAATTAAAAAAGAAAAAAATGTTTAAAAGGCCTAGAGACTACTCAAAGGCATTTTGCAGCCTGATATGTGTTATATTGTCAGATTTCCTGATCACTGCCTGGCTGTATGATTTGGATGAGCAGTTGGATCCAGGCCAGTTGACCGACCTGAGATCAGCTCTGGTCAGCAATTGCACTTTGGGAACCATAGTAGCCAAAAACAAGTTTCATACCCAATTGTTGCACCATTCTCCAGCTCTTCACCGTGCCATTGAAAGCTTCATCAGAGCTCAGGAGGATAACAAATGGGAGCTTGATCAATGGGTAAGATGAGATCTTCCAGGAGGATTCTCATTTTTTCTGAAATGACTTACTACTCTATATCTGGGTCAGACATAATGTCTCTCACTTGGACATGATCCCTCTCCCTAGAGCTTGATTGGTGAAGAAGACACTGGAGAAGTGAAAGATATAAAGGTGCCCAAGGTCTTGGGTGATGTGTTTGAGAGTCTTGTTGGTGCCATATTCCTTGACTCTGGACTATCTCTACAGAAAGTTTGGTATTGCATCTATCCCTTGATGAAGGATAAGATTGGTGAGTTTCTTATGATCTACATTGATGTCTCTGTATCATTGGCAGCATAGCTGCATGCTTATAGTGTTCTTACAATGGTAGCCTATCTTGCAGGCTACCATAAGGTTCTAATAAAATTAGACATGTTTAAAGTGCAAAATTTCAATCAAATCATTTTCCTCTGTAGCCTTGAAGGACTTTTCAGTGGGAAGACTTTCATAAAATCTACCTGCTTAACCTTCTTGGTTTCTCTTTTTTAGAATTCATTTGTCTTTTTGTATTAATTTAAATCTGGACCAATTGTCAATACTTGTGGTCTACAGGATACTGAAAGAAAACTTGAAGTTGCCATATTTTTATTTAAGGACTCCATCAAGCAAATGTCCCCAAATTTTAAAAGAATGAAGTTTGCTCTCAGTAATTTCAACCCTGAAAACTTTGTCTGAGTCAATTAGTTCCAATTGACATGACCAATATTCTAGAGTGACTATGTTTAAACTGACAACACCTTCCATAAAGACTCATTGTAGCATCATAGTAATTTGGCTTTCAAATGACATTCATAGTTCAGTTATTGGATGTCATTTCAGTTCAATCCCCTAGGTTGATTTCCTTTGTGCTATTTCTGCAGAATCATATGTCAAAGACACTCCCAAGCATCCTATCAGGAAGCTGCATGAAATGCTTGCCCCTGCTCAGCCACAATTTGAGTGAGTTCACTGGAGCAATCTGTCTTATCATGAGTACTTATCCAGTAATCTCAAAACTTCTTAAACAGTTGGAAGATTGGCATATCTAAGAACTCATCCCTTTCAAAATGATGCCCAAGTATACTCATCCATTGGAAATCATTCCACTTTACTCATTTTCCAAACTTCATGTTCCCATTGTGGTTCCCTATAATACCATACTTGCAATAATTTCTATGTTATATTCCTAAAAAGTCATATTTGCTTCACATCTTCAAATTTTTACATTTAAAGGATGATGTCATAGTTATTTTTACAATTTATTACAATAGTTCACAAGTACATTATGTTAGCAATTCTGAAAATTTGTTGTACTCAATCCAAGCTAAAACCTTCCCCCATGGTTTTTAGTGGGCAGTTTGAATTATCTGAATGGATGTAGCTAAAAAAAAAAAAATTAATCTGATGAAGTTTGATATAAAAGCTTGCCTTTGAAGTAGTGCAGTGAAAAAAAGTTACTTATTGGCCTTCATGTTTATTGTTCTGTGAAGGCCTATTGTATTGCTTTGAAGACCATTGCAGTAATTGGCTACATCCTCTGTTCACTTTTTTTATTTGCAGACTTTTGTGCGAGCCTCTTTTTTTTATGCATTTTGAATTCAAGCGTCCTTATCTCTCTACTAAAGAAAGATCTCTTGAGTTTTACTTTTTGCTTAGAGGCTAAAGTAGTTATTGATCCTGACAGAAATTTTATGACTAGACATAAGTGATAAGTCCCTCATGGAAAGTTTTCCAGTCTCATTTCAAGACTCAAGGTTTGCATTAGTGATGTCAAGAGACCATATTGACTTATTGGTAAATTTCTCTATTTTTGTAGGACCCCAAACATGCAATACTCCATGCACTCACATCTCCAGCCTCTATAGAGAATAAATGAAATCTTCTAGTCATGCCAATCCTTCCTAAACAAATATTAAATATGTTCATGATTAAGGAAACACTATATCTTTATGTGCACAATAAAGAACAATAACAGACATATCACTTCATCTTATGGGTGTGAAACAATACAAAGGGCTGTTTAGTTTAGCCTTAAATTGGCACCATGGTTTGACACCAGAGCAGAATTTTGTGGAACAACCACATTACATTAGCATATGCCTTATGGTGCTTCAGTGAAAAAAAGGAGAAATTTTGGTCCTGCTACCTCAAGGTGAATTCAGGGATTGATGCATGATGATTCCTTGCTCAATTTCCAATTTCCATAGCTTTTCACAGAATTTTGCTTTTTTCCCCAGGGTTATTGAACCAGATCCTCAATCTGACCTTGGTAATAAAAAGTAAGGGAATTTTCATGTCTTTCCTGTGGCAAAGCGATTCTGTGGCTTTAGGATTGTAGAGATGGTTAATCTGTTTGTCATTAGGATAAAGATAGTGGAGGTAGCCTTGAAGGCAAATGGAGCAACATACAAAGGGAAGGGGAAGAGCAAGAAGCGAGCTGAAATGGTGGCTGCCAAGAAGGCTCTGCAACACCTGATGATACGGCGGAAAATCCTGACAAATCGTCCTATCAACCCTTGCATGCGTTTTTAGGTCATTTGCCACCAGCCTCCGGAGCTCCTAGCTGTTTGCATTTCTATGCTTTTTCCTTTTTTTTTGCATTTCTATGCTTTTGTCATTTCTGCAGTGTTTTATCACTAAAAAAAATCAAGTGGTGGATGCTGGGAACCTTGAAGGTGATGAAACTGTAGAGACTACATGCAGAGTTCACCAGAGCAATTGATTCTTCTAACTCTATCACATTGATAATATGCTTGCAGTGAATTTGTGAAAGAACATCATCTGAAAAACATTCAGTAACATGAGTTTATTTTCTCTCTTCATCACACAGGGTGGCTCAGCTCCCCAGTTCTAGTTATCAGTAAGCCTACTGTACTTTTGTTGAATGAGATGACATTGGAACATCTTTTGGACATTTTCTTCCAATATCAATCCAGAATATGCTCAACAGGCATTAGAACTAAATGTTTATTGGACTTGCACTACCAATGACAAGCTAAACATAACTGCTTCTAAACTTGGTGGTTGTTGCAGAATTCTGACATTTTATCAAATTGAATTAGGTCAAAGCAGTATATGATCAGCAATGTTTGCATCCCAAGAATAACTTTGCATATGTTTGACAAGGACTGAAGTAAATAACTGTGAGCTGATGGCTAACAACTCAAACACCTTACTTGTTCTGAGTTATGGATTAACTCTTCAGATTCCAGAAGGACAATGCTGACAATTCCCTTAGCATAAGAGACAGTGCAGATAATATTTTTTAGAAAAATTGTTCCTTATGGTAATGGTCAAGGTTTCCAAGTCGCCCAGTATATTTATACTTTTTAAAATTTTTTGTTTGTTTCAGCCTTTCATTCTGGTAATGGAAGACTTTGGATTGGTTCCATTTCTTTTTTTTTTCCCAGGGAAACCTATTGTAATTCTTTATTTTTATAGCATGAAATATCATATTCAGTTGTGATACTTGAACCAGCAGAAAGATGTGTGATTATGAGCTGTGATTCTTATCTCATGTAAATTTGTGTCTGGACTGTCATTCTTCATGTGAAGCTGGATAATGTGTGGTTAAAGAGCTTGCTATCAGCAAAAGCTTTCTTTTCATTCCACTCCCCTCCCCTCCCTCCCTATCATAAAACTGTTCTTACTCTTTTGGGTGGGACCCCTTTCCAAGAAGGAAAGAGGCTGTGTTCATTCCTATTTCCTATATTGTAAAATATCTCCTATTTCTGCACAAAGTCAGTGAGAATTGATGTTCAGATAGAAGACCCAAGTTACAGGGTAATTTCATTTCTGGCAGCATCTGTATCACCAAAAAAAATATTTTATAGCAAATATTGCATTTTGAAATTTCCTCAATGTGAGAGGCATCAGCAACTTCAGCTTCATGAATCTTGACCCAATGCACCAGTATGGGCCTCAACTTTTATCATGTCACTGACAAGAACTGCTAGTTAATCATGCAGTGCCATACATGGCAGCCATTCGTATTTGGCCCATCATTGATCTGGGACTTGCTCTGTTTTTCAGCCTTTCATGTTGAGGGTTTCACTTTGATCATTTCTTTTGAGTTTTTACTAGAGCATTTTTAGTGATGGGTTTCAGCCTGGGCATTTCTTGTCATGAGTGAACTTTTCATTCAGGGTGTGCAATTTCTCTGTGTGATAATCCTAAGTAGTGCCTTTACTTAAGTGCCTCATTCAGTATCCTCATATATACCTTTTTATGCTGCTTCACGCTATGCTTTGATGCAATTATTACGTGGCCTATTCAAGCTAAGATGTTTTCATCACATGACAGAGTTGAAATATGTCTCCTAGATGAATCTTCTGGATTGGTGAATAAAGTTCTATTCATTCTGAGAGTCAGCAAAATGATTTGAACCTGAACCCCTCAAAGTAGACTGTTGACAAAAATTCAGTGAGTTTGGGAGGGACTGAAGGAACTTCTTTGGAGTTCTTGAAAGTCTTCATTTCTGTATTGTATAATCAATAAATATTATGATCCTGATGTTAAAGTAATTGGAGTAAAAGTCTGACGAAGAATTTGTGGTCAATTTAAGGGAAATCTAACCTCATTAGATGCTCAGAAAAATTCAAAACATTGGTGAAGAACTTCAAATTTTAAGTGATATACTCAGCAGTTTTGAAACATTCCCATCAGATAGATCAATCAGTATCAGTGAGAATGAGTATATGTGCCCGAGCAAGAAGCAGGATGAGTGTGCCAGGAAGACAAGTTATTATGCCATGACGAATGTAAGAGTCATTCTTTCCCAAACAGCAGAGTGGCTCAGTTAGTATCTGAATTGAGCTAAGTAAACAAACAAAACTTTCTATATTAAGTTTTGGTAGCTTATGAAACGAAGTCCCTTCGCAAATGGGAGACCTGGAGTGTTTGGAGAGACTCCCAAGCATCAGGCAAGAATACTTGCGTAGGCCTAACATTAATATTTTATCAGAAGCCACTCATACCAAACTGAGTCACCCTAGGGTGTAAGCAAATATGTGCTGACATGAAGGGGGCCAGTGGCTGCAGGCAAGCCTGCAGTGTTGGTGTGACTGGATTTTCATATGAAAAATTTTAGCAGCCCTTCCAAAGTGTTCCAATTATTGGCTTTGACTTTTGCCAATTGATACACTTGCACAGAGGTGTCAAACATGCGGCCTGTGGGCCAGATCCGCCTGCCGCTTGTTCCTAAAAACTCTGCATGGATTGACTGTTAGCACAAATTTCTGGGGAAAATTATGAGTTTCTGCCCACCAACCTATTTGAGTTTGACACCCCTGCCTGTACATATAGACCAAGTTTCCAAAAGGAGGGAAGGACTTCCACTTCCTTCTACTATATCGCTATTCTTGCGAGATCTCCATGCCTGGTCACCATGTTGAGGCACCCACATTGCTCATACAGGGCAATCAAGCAGTCTTCTTGCACAAATTGATGGCACTTGGGTGCATGACTTGTTTCTTCCATTCTGACAAGCAGCACTTGTCACATGACTGAACCCAGGCCAAGGGGAATTCCATGAACTCATTCTAGGCCACTTAAGACAACCCCTTAAGTTGATTCTCTTGTTTGGAGGTTTGGGCTTGCATGCAACCTGTCAGTCTAATGACACACAGAGCCAAGTGTTGAGGTTTTTTTTACAAATTACATGTCAATGGACAATGAATTGCTGAAACCTCAAGTAATTTATGTTTTGGCAATTCTAATCAAATTTGCCTTCATGCTAATTAACAAGAGGGATAGTCAAAACCTTTCAAGAGAAACTGCTGCACTAACCAGTCTGGCTAAGAAATGAAAAATGGCTGCCTTAGAAAATGATTTCCCAAATTCAAAGCTTCACTCCTGCTTATCAGCTCAATAAAAATTCCTGAAGGAGCAAAAATAGTTCATTTTATTCCTATAACAAACTGTTTACTGGACCATAAAAATACCACAGGTGCATTCATGATCTCATGCTGTTGTCCACAACCCAATGAACTCATCACACAATGCAGGATTTGACTCAGGAGAGGCAAAAAAAAATCATAGTCTGGACTGTATCAAACGTTTTCCTGGATTCCAAGTAGCCATGAAGGACTCAGACTCAAGAAACTTACCAATTTAATTCTCTGAAACAATCCATGACATACAATGGGAATCATCAGGCAATATCAGAGGGAACAAGAGGAATACACCAAGTGAGAAACTTTAATAGCTGCAACATCAAGATGCATCAGGGGCATAGAGTGATCAAGAGACCATAGCTTCACTTGTGTACAAAGTCTCTATCTGGTATATAAGTGAAGTTGGAATATCATGATCTGCATTTTGGATTTACTCTATGTCTCACACCAAATGTTATACTGTTTCTCACAAATAGAAAATCAACATTATTCTTATCTGCATTATCAAAATAACAAAGTAATCAATGTGCACAGATTAAGGGACATCAAATTAAAACAACCTGCAGGACAGATCTACTAATAGCAAAAATAAAGGACCAAAGGGAGATTCCATGGTGAAAAATCACATTTTGCAGTTGTAACAACAAAATTAATACAATGCAATTTCAACAAACTCTTCAGATGCAAGCCTTTCCTTTGATTGTGGGAATGCACCACTCTCTTAAGCAAAACCTGCATGAGGAGGAGGATGAAATCATGAAGAAGAAAAGAAGACCGTGTGAGACGAACCTGAATCAGAAAATTGCACTTTTCTTCGTTTTCTCACTCTGACACCAAGGCTGGGGACACTTCCGGATGCATCAAACGAGGATGACAGAGAGGTGAAAGATGAACTGTCTTCATTTGACCCAAATGTGCAATTCCCTGATTGTGATAGTCTTTCATTCATTCCTGTTGCTTCATGCTGGCTAGGCTGATGGTTTGAAGTATGCATAGGAAGACACTCATCACTGGATGGTCTTTGTTCATGCGTCAACACAACCTTTGGCGATGCTCCAATGTTGGCAGATATCTGGGAAGGCACTTCATTGCATATCCGAGATGCACAGCCCATTGACTCTCGGACTGATTTTACGATAGACACGGGTTTATTGATGTCAGATGATTGTTCTTTAACATGAGGTACACATGTTGCTGGTGACTTGCTTGGAGCAGGATCTACCTGAGAATTTAGTGAATCAGATAGCTCCAAACTCCTCTTCTTCTTCACTTTCACAACTACTGGGGGTGACACAGAATCTGAAGACTGCTTTGCAACAGCACTAAGATCAATCTCATTAGATGCTGAAGACATGCATATTGAATCTTTGGTTGGGGTGGCAACAGGGGCAGAAAGAAATTGAGTAGGCTGACTATGTTGTTTCTTTCCACAATCAGCATGATTCTTTTGCTCCTCCCTAGGTTTGAAATCAACTTCCTTTTCATGTCTATGCCGATGATGCCGTCCCTTTTTATCATCATCACGACCCTTTTTCCCGTCTATGCATTTATCCAACCTCCTTTCGTGCCTGCGAGAGTGATGTTTGTCACGGGTATGCCTAATTTCTGCATCGCTAGCCTTAATAGAAGTATGTGCAGATTTTGAAGAATCCTTGGAAGACACATGATTTCTCCCTTTCACCATGGACGCAGATGTCAGGGCAGAATCCTCAGCTTCCTGCTTCATGCCACCTTGCTTGCTGCTACTGTTACTGATACTGCTTCTGCCGGCTGCCTTTGCATCTCCCTCAATCTTGACAGTGTCCTTCCCTTTGTCTAGAACCTTCCCATGCTTCATGACCTCCTGAAAGACATCTTTACCCTTCAGCATCTTGCTTGTCACAGGTTTCTTAGTTTCTGCCTACAAGAAGAAACCAATGAAATGATTTTCATTGCATACACCAAGGAAATTTCAGCATAAGTTCACAAACACTCTCAAAAGATCAATTGGAAAACCTCATGACCTGATGAAAAAGAAATAAACTATGGTAGTTGAGAACCAAGCATCAACTGAATACTGTCATCATGAGGAATGAAAACGAAGCCACTCTTTAGCAAAAGAAGACTTGCTACAGGACTGAGCTTGGGCATCTTGTTAAATCCTGTACTTGGGCAACCACAGCTGATTCTGCTGGAGTGGAACAAGAACATGCATCTGTGGATATTTCAATGGTCAAGCTTTGTGGACCTTATCCTTTGTCCTCCTCTTCTACTACTAAGAACACAATCCATTCCTCATCAGAAAATTTTCCAATGTTCAGTAGAATAATGACTTGTGCACTAAAACCATATTGGAAGATCCCTTAGTTCTCCCACACAGTAACAGAGGTCAGATGGCACTGAAGATGAAAATGTCACATCATATGTCTCCCTTCAGCTAATTCAACCCCTTCCATGAACTCAGTGGCATTGAAATAGTGACAAATTTGCAAACTCAAGCTAACCACTGGATTTAGTACACATACAAATCAAGTCCAACAGCTCTTCTGGGCAGAAGTATTAGACTTCAACAAGTTTGCAACATTGTGTATCACAGACACATCTTAGGTAGCAGTCACGGGTCATCTTATATCACAAAAAAGTTCAAGACACCCACAAACAGTGTCACTTCAAGACTGCAATGAAAGACTCCAAGAAGCATCCTCATGAAAGAAATAACCCCTGGGTTGTATCTGAACTACTCAACAGCTTCAGCTGGATTCCAACTGGCTGAATACAAAAGCAGACACCTTTTAAATGCAACCAAATAGTGCTTAAAGCATACCTGACTCTGAGTAGCCATCATTGAACTGTCTCTTGGTTGAGGCCTTCCAAATGGTGCTCCTTTTCTTCGGAAAATAAGATTATCCAATCTAAAGTGGAGACAATGCGAATATTAGTAAAATTAGCTGTATGATACATTGACAACATTGCAAGTCACATAGCACAAATGACATATATATATTCAGTTATTGATGATCTGAAGATGCTACAACTCAAACTCATTTCACAAACTCAAGCATGGACACCAATGAAAATAAATATGTCATTTCATATTGAATTCTACCAGTGCAGTCATACTTTTTAAGCACTCTCACAGCACAAGTAAAGGAATGGCAAAAACTACCTACTTTGTCTGCAATTCAGTACATTCATATTCTCTCCGTTGAATCTCGGCAGTGGCCGTGAGAAAGAGCGAGGAGATGTTACGTCTGAGGATTTCATTCTCCTGCTTCAGCTTCTTCACCTCGGCAGTCAACTCCTTGTTTTCCTTCTCCAAGCCCTTGTGCTGTGGGAAGATGCACCAATGCAAATCATGAGACATGACACACTGCCATTAGTGCAGTGCCTTGAAGCACTCAAACAAAACTCAAGAACCAAACCGTTTCATCAATGCAGGTGATTTCTGGGTCTTCGTGTGGCTCAACAAAGTCCCCATAGATATTGTCATCA